TGCCAGGTTTGAGACCATTCATATAATTTCTCCAGGTCATTTTGGGGTTCTAAGTTATCACTCCCACATCGTATCGTTCTCCATATCTTGACATCATCAGCATATAGCAAGACCGATGATGACAGAAGACGAGGAAGGTCATTTACATACAAGAGGAATAGCACTGGTCCCAAAACTACCCTGGGGCACTTCACTAAACACAGTTCCCCAGCTAGATAACTTTGAGTTCACCCGAACTCTTTGTTGACGCCCAACTAAGAAGTCTTTTATCCACATCAATAGATTGCCTCCAATCCCGACATTTCTTAACTTATAAAACAGCCGGTTGTGCGGAACCTTGTCAAAAGCTTTACTGAAATCAATGAAGGCTACGTCTACAGGTAACTTTTGGTCCTTAAGAGCGCACCAGCTTTCACGAGCCACTAATAAGTTAGTGAGACAAGAATAACCTATTCTGAAACCGTGCTGCTTCTCCGAAAGGATCCAGTTTTTATCGAGATACTTAAACAGTTCCTTCCGAATAATCTTTTCTAAGATTTTAACAACCACACTAGTTAGGCTGTTTTGAAGACAGGACTTACTATGGCGTTTTTCCAGTCTTTGGGTAAACGACCCTGCGTCACGGATAGGTTAAAGCATATACTTAAAAGGTTCGCAACGAAGTTAGATAATTCCTTCGGTAGCCTAGGATGTAATTCATCGGGCTCCGTGGATTTACCTATGTCAAGATTATTTAGTAGACCAAAGACATCGAGTTCTTTAATGGTCACGCTATCCAGTGTATGTGTGGGGATCTGTATGCGCTGATGGGAATGGTGCTTCTATGGTGTATGCATTGCTAAAGTAGTTTGAGAACACTTGAGCCTTACCAAAGTCTTCCTTCACTAGTGACGCGGCAGTACTGTCTCCCCATAGAGCAGGAATATTTCCTCTTCTCTTTGTCCTTTGGTTTATATAAGAATACAAGCGTTTAGGACATTCTATGGATTCCTTAACAATCTTTCATTTGTACAACTTTCTAGACTTACGGAGGGTCGAGGCACAGGTATTCCGGACTTTTCTATACTGGGATTTAGTTTCATCAGTCCCCAGTAACCTAAATCTATCCCACATTTTTCTTCTCTTACGGAGAAGGACGCGGACCTCCCCACTGAACCATGGTGGGGGGTTTCTCGGCCCCCTTGGTATAGTCCAAGGGATGTGGGGTGTGGTAACTTTTAAGTATGAATTTCGAAATGCTTCCCATGCCGTCCCAACTGAGGACTCTGGGTCTATTGTCCAATCTACTAACGATGCTGAGTGCATGATATCTGGTATATTTGCTTTCCAGCCGTTAGGTCTGGATTGGGCTGACGTGTGCTCGTGACTGACAGTTATATGGAAGTCGAAAATTAAAACTGCGTGATCACTTTTACTCACTTTCATGGGATACACTGTCGATAATGGCAGATGGGATGGCATTCCTAATGAATAGAACTACTCACCTTTCTTTATGTTTTTGTATTCTGTCGACCCTTACTAACGTAAAACCCTCGAAATCAAGGTCCATACTACCTATAGACTGTGTCAGCCAGGTTTACGTGACTGCGATTTTGTCTTGCTTTGTAGAGTCAATCTGTATACCTAGTTGCGATCGCTTATTGGGTAAGCTTCGGGCATTAGTGTAACAGATCCGAAGCTTATTTAAGTGGCTTCGTGCTTCACCCAGAGTGGCTTCGGCATCATTCTCTGTCGAAGCCTTACAACCCGAAAATTTACAATTTTCAGGTCCTTTTCTCCAGCGTCTAACCTAGTTGTAGTTCTTTCTCGGCTTCCCGTCTTTTAACACGGTCTGCCAACGGTAGGTCCTTTCGGACAAAGACTCCTGAACCCTTTAATTTGTGTCCATTCTGTAAAATTAGGTCACGTTCGTTCGAAGAGTTGAATACTACTTTAAGCAGTCTGGAATGAATTGGTTTCAAGTCCGCTAGATCCCCTAGTCTGTACACCTTTGGCATGGTGACTCCGATCATATTTTGAGGCATGAATTGATTAAGCAGCTGCCTAATCAGTGCAATGTCATGCTCAAAACGGGCTTTAGGTCCAGAGCTCTCGCTCTCCTTGATTCTATGAAAAATAACTGATCTGTCGCTATGATCAGCTTTCGATTTTTCAACTACTTTTACGGGGGCAGGGTTCCCTTTTATATCCCTACTTTTCTTCCATACAACCTGTACCCATTCGTCAACGGTGCTGGTAGAAGCAATAACAGTTGCGTCAAACCTAGTGTTGGATTCTGGAGGGTTGTCGACGACCTGAGAGGTCAGGTTATGTTTACCGCTTGAAACCGATCGAGCTTTGCGATTGCGGCTTCTATGTGTTTCCTGTGGGATCCCATATGGGAGACGGGGAACAGGAGAACCTACTTTCCTCGAGCTTTTGTTTAAGGCAGGCCCCTTTGGAGACTACTTTTCCTTCGTTGACCGGCGTGAGTCATCTACTATAGAACTAACCTTAGTTTGCCTCATGTCGATTTGTGTGTCGACAGATCGAGTGCTGTTTGACGTGTTCCGACTACGCTTGCTAAAACACTTCTTTCCAGCATCAACCAGTGAGATGGCCTCGGTTAACAGGCTGTTTGCATTCGAACAGCACTGTTGACAAGGCCATACGCACCCTTTCTTACTAAACCGTTTGAAAGCCGCGGGCGTTAAGTTCGTGCAAACTTCGTGGTACCAGCTTTTGCACTCGTCGCACTGCATGCCGCTTTCAACGGAATAACGACAACCCGGACGTTGCCAACTGCTTTTTTTTTACACTGTCCTGTCATTTAAAAGGAGTCCTTTTCAAAAAGGAACGAGATGCGATGATACTCAGAAACAAAAAAATAATAAATGACTAAAAAGTGAAGAAGTGTAGATTGTTAGGACCAAAACTACTAACAGATACAACTGAAAATGAGGTACTTAAGAGTACCAACGACAAAACTAATTGAGAGAACGGTAAAAACGGTACTCTAGTCGAATACTTTAACTGAGATGAATTCAATTAAAGCGAAAACAGTAGTCTTGATACGTAATAAACGATCAAAACAATGAAACTTACTCAGCGAGTAAAAATACTACTGTCCTAGGTTTATATATCTTATGATAGTAGGGTTTCTGAATATAAGCAGGTATTAAATTCCTCTGCTGACGAGCTAACTTGAATAATAATTTTCCCTATACGAAATCGCTAGTGATGGTTGATGAGGAAATTATATCTTTCAGATATCAATCACCCGTTTTCTATTATTTGGCAGGACAGAATTACTCACGTGCTTTCTGGCCAGTACAAACCAGTCAATTTCTTGGCACTAACCCCTTGATCTTAAGTAAGGGTTGAAGGTTCATAAATTATATTTAGTGAAGTTTCAATAGTCATTCGATTATAGTAGACTTACTAATATAGGTTGGTTCTGTGATTCTTACTTGACATCTTTTCCTTCATTATTTCTAGATTTTCGACTTTAGTTTTAGTTTCTTCAACTATACAGAGAGGTTTCTAGAGTCAATGGCTATTTTGTCACTAGATAAATGTTTGGTTGTCCATCATAAACCAGAGTAGTAGGATGTTAGAAGTGAATTGAAATGATAGTGAAGACGAAATATCTGAAGAGGTGCTGTTGTACTCTGGTCATGAAGAAAAAGATAACTCGCACGCCTGAGGAGTCACACTGACGCTACACAAAGAAGCACGCGAATCACTTATAAGATGAAAATCTCATTAACTCAAAATAATCGAACCGTCCTTCAAAACAAATGACAGAAACTACGACAGTAACGATCAGTTATATGAGACTGCAGTCAATCATAGAGAAATGCGCAAAAAGGTCTTGAGAATCCCAACTTGAGACTAAAACGCCACAGTCGGAATGACCGAAGCTAGTATGAAAAAATGGGACAACATGGACTTGGGGGGCGAGGAACGAGAATGGTGAGAGACATGGAAATTGAAATACTAACTTCAACGTGTGAGGAAGTTGTGAGTCGCAAGAAGCATCATGATGAGGAATGAATCTATATGGAAACCCTGGAAAAGGTTCAGGAAAGGAAGAAGAAGAAAACAGCAATTAACGGTCGAACAAGAACAGAGAACGTCAAGGCACAAGCTGAATACACAGAAGCAAACGAGCAAGCGAAGAGAAACATTATAACTAACAAGAAAAAGAATATATGGAAGACCTAGCAACGACAGTGAGAAAAGCTGAAAGAGAAGGAAATTTGAAACAATGAAGAAGCTAGCGGGGAAATATGGTAGACCAGAGAGACCGATCAAGGACAGAGATGGCAAGACAGTCACTGAAATTCAAGAACAGAGGAACAGGTAGGTAGAAAACGTTGAAGAAACTGTTGGACAGACCAGCCCTACTGAACTCACTACAAACCGAAGCAACACACTTAGACATTCTTATGGGTGTCACTCCAACAACGATGTAAGAAATCAGGATGGCCATCAGAAAAATCAAGGGTGGAGAAGCAGTGGGACCAGACAATATACCAACCGAAGCATTTAAGTCGGACGTAGAGATAACTGCAAAGACACTCCAAATTCTCTTCAGAAGGCTTTGCGAGGGAGGTTAATCGCCGACAGACTGGAAAGAAGGATACCTCATCAAGATACCAAATAAAGGATATCTGAACAAATGTGAGAATTGCAGAAGTATCACACTACTGTCAGTACCATAAAATATTTTTAACAATGTTGTTGAATCAAATGAGAGTTCCATTAGTTGCGATTTCGATGTTAACTGACTGGATTTTTTAAGGATTAGTGGTGTACAGACAAAATTACGAAACTACGGGTAATTGCTGAATAATCACCTGAATGGAATTGGTCACTATGCCTCGAATCCCTTGACTGTGAGGGAGCTTCAAACAGTGTGGATGGGAGAATTTTATGGGACCTTCTTCGATGCTGTGGAGTGCCTGAAGGGATCCTCACCATCACACTGAACTCCTACGACATTTTGAACTGTAGTCATGCTTTTAGAGGCCAGGCCAAAGACGAATACCGAGTAATGACTGATGTCAGATAAGTTTGACTACTCTGGTCTGTGACTGTAGAGGGAAGCCTGACACAGAGCTGTTTGGAGATTCCTGGTCGTTGGCCAATGGTCCACTAGAGGAAGCAGATTCAATCATGTAAGTATTAGAAACAAGAAAGGAAGAAAAAAGAAAAAATCAACTGTATTTGTGGGCAACACTGCGAATATCTGGTTACAGTAGTCTCGTTCCTTTCCTCAGATGATCTTTTCAAGCACTGTGCCTCAAACTGACAAGCCCTCCTTTTCCATAACCGTCTCGAAAGATTTCCTTCCTCCTTCTGGAAGAGGGTAACTTTGTCTTCATGGATTTTGGCGTGGGGCAGTGTATTTTCCTTGAAAGTTTAAAGATTATTTAGGGTTACGGCATTCTTACCTGTCAATGAATGAAATAGATAGTTTCGTCGAATTTAGCTGGCACTAGTTTCTATGTTTTCTGTGAACAGTAAGCTTAAGTTGTGCTGAGTAGAGACACTTTTGTGAAGGTGATCACAGGATACGTAAGTTGTCTGTCATATCGTTTCTTATTATATAGTCATTATTTAACATTTATGTGAGTTGAAGTTTAGTCCGTCTACTTCATACCAATTCTTAAATGATATGACATCGATTTAGGACTCCCATGAGCTCTACGAATTTCGACATCTGCGTTAATGAACGATGACAAAGCAGGATGATTTCCAAGTGGTTTATGCAAATTATAATGAGGAAATGTCTAGGAATGGTATCTTATTCAGATCAGAATGTTGATCACCTCCATTTCGCATGTACTTCGTTGGCCTTCGTACAAGGCTTCTATTCTCCAAGTTATCACGAAGCCAGGATACTGGTGGATCAGTGAGACTCATCTTAGTAACCTCCGTTATAAGGAATGTGTGTGAAAGAGTACCCAATTCCAGCAAGTAGTTCAGTATCAATAATATCCTATTTTTCACCACTCTCATGTCGTTTACTTTTTATCCAGATTCTCGCTTTTCATAGCAGCTGTGAGTTGTGTGTCAAATCACCGTGTTGGCGAGGCAGCTTCACTCCTGGCTTTTAGTGATGCAGTGTAGAAGTCACGGATATGTTTCAGAACAAACATCAAGCGCGGTACTGTTGTTATTTTCTTATGTACCTGCCTTTTATGTTGTGTCACTCATAAGATGACAATATATTCTTCCTACCAAACATTTTGTGTTACTTATACAGAAATAGAAGCAACTAAAATCCGGAGGTCCCGTAAGTATGAGGTACGTGGATATTCACCCCTGAAGGCTGACTAATCTCCATCAACATTCTACCCCTCTTTACCTTTTCTTAAATAATGTCATGTCGTGGGCACCTCATTCAGTATCTGTTACAAAAAAGGAAAGTCGTTTCACATACACACGTTTTGATGTTATTGTCGTTCAAGTACTCTTATAATTCTGTAATGTCATTTGGTTGATTTCCTCACTTCATAGGGTTCCTACATGACAAGTTATGTCAGTAACACTTTGGTTGGAAGTACATTATATCGGGTCGTTAGTAACCGGACGAGATGAGATGTTGGTAGGTAACAAGATTAAGTGGTAGGTCGCTGAAGAAGCTATACTGGATGTCATCTGTGTGATCAGTAAACAGAAGCTCAAGGTACCGAATATCCAAGTAAACATTGTGATATCCCAAATGCTTGAGAATTTGAACTCACAATCTTTATAACATGCAAGTCATCCAGTGACGTGCTTGTCTACAGGGAGAAGTCAGAACACAATGTTTTGGTGATAGTGGTGGTTCTACGTTAACACAAGCATAAGTATAAAATTACATATACAGTAAATATTCTACCGGCAAATTACGAGATAAGTCATTCAGTTCAAGTGGAAAAAATCTGACACGATGAGTTAAAATGGCAGCGACTAAAATATCGTATCGAATAAAATAAAATTGAACATTCAGTGAAATACTATGAAATAGAAACGACATAATGAGAAGCCTAGAACTATCAGTAATAGTGAATAATAGCACTTTTGTCTTTAGCCAAAAATAAACACGCTACACATGAATGATGAGAATTAACGTTGCGTGGATGCAGGGGCAAACGATTACTATCATGTAGTATATACATAAATATGGTATTTTCCCTCTCTTACACACACACAGGAATATTGTAAGCCGATTTTAACGTACTGCTAAAGCGGTATAAGAAATGGCTATTGCCGTTCAATCTGAATGTGTCTTTAAGTACATAAGGTGCACATAAAAAAATTATGAAATCAGAGAAGCACCGCTGGTATCACTCCTCATTTACAATGAACTTTCAGCTATAGTAATATGTGACTATAGAATCGTATTTTATTGACTTTTATTCTGGATTTAAAGTACGAGATGGGTATCAAGAAGGAATTGCAAAAGATTTCATAAAAAACGTATTCACTATGAGTTACGAAACCCTAGTGAGATCGAAGTTAGCAGGTCGTAGTGAGGTCACTGAATTTCTATTAATTTGGCGATTGATAACGACATTAAATTGACTAAGTTTAGACAATAAGCTTATAAGAAAGATTGGTTTAGCGAAGAGTTCTCTTTTTGGCTAATTCATTTTTAAAGCTGTACAATAGCGGATATATATACTTATTTTAACAGGATTGTTAATAGTTTAAATATTCATCAAAAGATAGACAGGGAAATTATCATTTTGAAAAAAATGCCCCAGCATGAAAAGATAGTGTTGAAATTGAAATTAAATATAATCAGGAGGATCATAGAAACAGAAATAAACCAGTTGGGGGTTAAAGGTTTAAGGATAAGATGGAAAGGGAAGTAGATAGCTATAAAAGAAGAAGAGTATGAAAAAAATCCGAAGACACCATCATTCTGGTTTCCTCAGATGTATGGCTATTGCTTCGGTAATGCTAAGAAGACACAATATAGTTGCCTTTGGAAGACTTCTACTTACCTTGTTTATGACTTTGAACGCAGAGTCTGTCTTCAGTGAGTGATTTGTGTTATGGTAATTAAACATAACAAGTCTTAGATTTCATTACAAACCAGTACAGCTATTATGAGTTACAAATATATATATTCAAGGAGTATATTTACTAGAAAACATCGACTAACAAAATTAAGTGGAGAAATACCAAGAAATAGTACATTTTAACGATTTACATTCTCGTTTCTTACTCTGTTAAGTTAGAACATGATTTATGATATATTCAATGTTCAATATCACTACATAAAAATATAATTTTAAAAAAAAAGAAACGGGGGAGATATCCAGAATGAAAGACAAACAAATGAACAACAATAACATATTTTGAATTCATTTTTATTTAATATTCTTCAGTTAATATCATTTGTTTATCTAAGTAATAGATTATTGTTATCATTATCATTTATATTAGTTACTTGTGATAATATGTGGGAAAATGTAAGCAAATGGCGTTTATATCTGCTGATTAGATATTTTGAAATCTCTTCCCTTTATTTAGAAAAACTATAATAAGTTAAAATACTCTAAAATTGAATGAATGAAAGAATGAATGAACGTAGGATGACAAAAATAAAGTAGAATTAATTCTGTAATACAATGACCTAAACAGTCTATTTGTTTTTCTTATATTGATGAATTATATTTTACGCTAGAACAATATGAGATATTTACATTCAGCAGTTAGACATATATATATATATATATATATATATATATATATATATATATATATATATATATATATATATATATATATATATATTTTATTATCATATCTAAATATAATCATATAAGGGTTAAAGATTAAGAGCTGTTCTTGTTTCCACTTCATAATTTATATTTGGGAATATGTGTATCGCACCATTATTATTCAAATAAAATAATTATTTGTATTCGATTTTTATGTAGAATGTTTGTTAACGAACAGTTGACTGATGCATACATATATATAGAGAGAGAAAGAGACTACTCACACTAACCCGTGTTCTATTTCTTTCGAGAATGTGTGAAGTTATTCACTTTACGTCAGCTGGACTAATCTATAAACTGTCATCTGGTATATATTATTGTTATTGTGTTTTTTTTTATAAATATTCTGAGAGAACCTGTCATGAAAATGAACATAAACATTAAAATATATAATTTTTTTGATTCTGAAAGATATTTTTACAAGTTGGTTTTTCTTATTATCTGTTCTTCACGAAGTAACGATGTGTTTTTTTCTTTCTGTTGTTTTTTTGTTTTCGTTCATTTCTGACAGATATATTTTATTTCTATTTGTGCGTGAGTAACAATTTTGGGGTATCTCTGACATATATATATATATATATGTATATATATATATATATATATATATATATATATATATGATACACCATAAGAACATATAAAATGTATACATATGTATGGTAATTATTAAGCTGTTAAATACAATTGAATTTATTTAAGTTAATCATATGAATATAAACTTAGGCGGTTGTTGTGAATTACTGCTGTACCAGACCCCCCTCTCTCCACCCTATAAACATAACTTACTCATGATATATATATATATATATATATATATATATATATATATATTACGAATATTTATTTAAATAATAATGAATATTAATATAAGTTGAATTAAAAATATGCGAATTATTTAATGAACTAAAAATAAGAAAAAAAAGAATAGGAATTTATTACAATTAGTACAATAAATTTGCCCATAGTAACCTAATACTAATTTACATTAAATATATAAATATAATTATTGGATAAAATGTATTTCTATATTATTCCTAAGCTTTATATACTATAATAATAAATAAATTCTCGATTGAAATCATTAGTCAATTGAAGCTATACCACCATGGAAAGCCTGGAAGCGTTGGACGGCCGTCTCGTCCTAGTATGGGACTCCTCAGCAGTGCGCATCCATGATCCCGCACCCCGCGAGATTTGAATCCAGGATCTATCAGTCTCGCACCAGGCGCTTAACCAACTAGATCACTGAGCCGGTATCCAACAGTGTTAATGTCTAACTTCAACTTTTTAGCTTTCTGTTACAGTTTCCCTTTCATGAAAAAATGTTATTTAAATGTTAAATATTAGATAATAATTAGTAGAACGTTGAAAAGTTGAACATTACTTATGTCTAACATTTTCAGTAATGTATATTCAAAGATTAGAATTGTTCAAATTCGCTCTAAAAGGTTGATTACAATTTAAACCAAAGACTGTTGAGTCTTGTCGATTATGTACAAGTATTTTAAACATCTATTTCACTAGGCAGTGGTCGCCTTGCTATTTATGTTTGTAAGCGGTCCTATTAATAGAGATTTTCTTCAAATAAACATCATTGATCTTTTTATATAGTCATAAAAGTTTGAGAATTGAATTTACCATAAGTTCACTGTTATTCCAAATAATAATAACTGATCGTTACCAAACCTCTTCTAAAGTTTAACTCTATTTAATATAATTTTGCAATGTATACATTATCATGACAACCATCTAAGTGGATTGAAATTCACTTTTCAATGAATATACTAAAAAAGAAGAATAATTAGATATATTATACTTTTAGGTTATGACCTGTGGAGTGAATATTTTAGATGTATACTGGAATCTAACTTATAAATTGTTTGAAGTCTATACACACCAATATTTAAGTCTGAAATGAGTGACTTATTATCAACACCGTAATATGCAAACATTGATACATTAATCTACATTCTAATCTCCTGAGATCATCACATGTATTGGTTGATAATCTCTTTGCAATTCTTACATAACAGAATACTTTATTTTATTATAGGTATACGTGTTCATCTGTCACTAATGGATTTTCGTCAATTGCCTTCAGAGTTATGTATTGAAAATATAGCGATGTTCCTATAAGTTATATATATGGTTATACAATTAAATGAGATATTTTCATTTTTCAGAATCACGAATTATTAAATAGTCTGTTGAATAGAAACCCTGTCAACAAACTCTTGTTTATTGAATAAAATGAAAACGTAGATGAAGATAACAGTCTTATTAGCGAATAAGTAAGCATTTAGATAGTTATCTTGGTAGTATTTTATGTTCTAAAACTGAGATGGCCTAAAC